TTTTTCAGCTTTCCTATGTATACGAGACAAGACAAGTAACATATCAAACTGTTCGCCTTCTCGTGGCCAATCTGACGATATGCCCGGCTTTTATGTAGGTCTCTCATATTCCAAGATATGAGACATAGAGGGGAAAAGTGGATTTTAACAAAGGTTATCTGATTCTGTCACCTACGCTGAGTTAGGTTTATTATGTTGGAATCTCAACTCCTGGGAAAGCTTGCCTTATCATCTCTTCCGAGGTGTTACAATTTGCAGGTTCTTTGGACAGGGAGGCCCCGGATCCCTTTTGGGGCTTTATAGCTCCCATGACCCTTCTGTGACACACATACACACTGGCCAAATGTTGCTGGGACTCTCAGAAAGGGGGGGGGGGGGGAAGAATGAGGGAGAAATATATTTGTCAGGATGGTTAATACCTTTGCCAAGATGGAGGTTGAAGCCAAAATGGTTGAACCCGTCCATCTCTGGCTATAAGCTATTACACCTCCCCCCTTAGGTGGTTGCATGGGAGGGGACTGCAATTTCCCTACCGACACAACCCACTTCTGCCACGGGCTGGCCTGACTAGGGCACAGAGCCACTGTGCCCAGGGGTTCACCTTGGGGTGATATGCACTGCGGGAGACCCAGGTTCCTTCTGAAAAGGAAGCTGTTCTTCCCAGCAACACTGCTGGGCCAACCAAGTGAGTGGTCACGGCTGAGCACCAGTTGGCTGTGGCTATCCGAATACCATGGCGACTGCTGGGGTGCCCCCCTGTTCACAAAACACTTCAGCTCAGGGGTGTCATCTGCTGACATATTAATATGTAGCTTCTGGTCGAGGTAGAGAAGGAGATTTCCCTCTCCCATCTTCTTCCTCAGGCCTAGGACTACATCTGGCCCGAAGGTAGTGGCGCCTGTGTGCACCGGAACTGGACAGGCGATTTCTGGAACTCGTCTCCCAGATGTGTCCACAGGTACCTTCATCAAAGATGAACAGTCCTCGTTACCTGCTAGCATCCAGGACACCAGTTCCTCCAGTTTCCTGTCTGCTAGGTCAGTCACAGGTCCAGCTGAGCCATGGTAGTTGCACCCACGGTAAGGCGTCTTACCGTAGCCAGCTGCACCCACGACTGATGTAACCTGCTTTTTGGCCTGGGGAGCAGACCAGGCCACCACTGTCTCAGTCTGCCCAGGGCCCAGATCTCCGGGGGTCTCTTTCTACCGTTGGTTCCCAAAGCTGAACCACTGGCATGCCCCTCTGACAGTTTCCCTTCTCGACTGTCAGACCAGGCACGTGCGGTTGGTTCCTGACTAGTGACAGGGGCCCAAGTTGCTCTTCCCAGACAGGGCCGAGTGCATGCAGTTCCACTCCGCATTGCAGGTCATCCCTGACCCCTGGGGAGGGGGTTGGGGCGTTCTCAACCCCAACTAGCTTTCCCGTGGCAAGCCACATGGGGTAGTGAAGGCTGGCTCGTCCTGAGCCTCCTGAGTTAGAGATGGTGGCCCATACCCCCTGCTCAGGTCCATGATGGTTAAACAGCAGGAACCTTCTGAATGCTTCATTACCTCATGGCCCCCAGGCATTGGGTGTGCCACACCTACAGGGCTGGCGCTCAGTTTTCCAAGGTCTTCAAAAAGCCCGGTCATCTGATCCTGTTTGGGGATCGAGACTACAGGGGATGCCCAGACTCTAGCTGACCCCTGGATTCTGGACTGCGCCATTCCCTCTGTCTCTTTGGCCCATTCAGCCTGCACCACCTGGGAGATTAGGTTGGCAGAAAGCAGGAGGGGGGCATGCATTCTGCCGTCCACCTCCTGAACCGCATGGTGAGCTCTCCCCGGGTTTCCCAGAATCCAGACACCATCTATCATAGGCATTGCCAGCAGCTTTGGGACTGGAGTGGAAAGGAGAGGTGATTGGGGCTGAAGGCCGCAGCCCCCTCTCTGAGATCCAAGGATCAACCCCAATAAGGCCCCTTGCACTCCCAATCTGAGTGTGCTGTCACTGCCTAGGACATCTTTGTCTGCCTGTTGACACACCATGACAGGTCAGATCAAATGACATGCTTTCAGGCTCCCAGCCCCCTGTGGATAGGCCATTCTTCCTGTCAGGCCTGTGTTTACTCTTCCCAGCAGGGAAGTTCACACCTAGCCAGAGGCTGAAATCCCTGTGTGAATGGCTTTCCAGTGCTGGCCTGCGTGTGGGAATACAAGGCCCAGCCAGCTGTTTACCCTTCTCAGCAGGGCAACGCATACCTAGCTGAGTATACCAGATTAAAAAAAACAATCACTATATTCTCATCAAAGCTTTAATATATTAATGTATTATAAAAATGAGTTTTTAATTTTTTTCAAATTTGCAGTTTTTACTACAATACTACCTGGTATGCAGCTCATAGCAACTCCTGAACAATGCAAAGTTAAACTGAAGCAGCCCAGAAGGCCCTGAATACACTACACTGTGAACATGAGCATTTAATTTGGAGGAGTGCAGTAGAGGAAGTATAGCGGGCCATAGATGGAGCGATTTTCTTTTGTGCAACCACAGGTTGGAGGAACTAACATCACTCGATTCCCTCATTAACATGATCAGAGTTGATGGGGGAATCCCTCCCCTGGAGCTATTGTGTTCAGCTGGTAGTGGGAGCTGTCCCCGCTGGAAGAACAGTGATTACTGCTAGCAGCTATAATAGCCACAAGCAAAAGTTCCAATTCCCCTTAGTGCATTTTAGCACAGCCGTAAAAACGCAGAACAACGGAAAGCTGTCTGAAGAACAATTTCCAATGTGTCCTATTCATACCATAATGTTACATTTTGCATTTTAGCGCAATGCAATGTCAATGGACATCAAAATGTATCTCAAATGGACTCGTGTTAAAACATGACTAAAAATGGATGGAAATGTACATCTTAGATTGTAAGCTCTGAGGAGCAGGGCCCTCCTAACCCTCTTGTATTGAACTGTATTGTCTCCCATTATATTGTAAAGCACTGAGCAAACAGTTGGCGCTATATATAAATCCTGTATAATAATACTAACAATAATAAATTAATTAGCCCTAAACGCATTCAAAATCCAACAGGCTGGTTGTACCCAAGTTGATTGATCGACTTGGGTACATTCAGCCTGCCCATACATGGTTTGAATCTCGGCCAGTCCATGCTGAACCGGCCAAGATTTGAATAGTCTATAGCTGGCTTTAAAACACCCAAAACTCTAGTTAAAAACTATGAAAAGGCAGATCTTGTTGCCAGAGTTCATCAGAAACTATGTAAAAAAAAAAAAAAAAAAAAAAAAAATTATCCAGTACGTGACAGTCTGCCTGCTACCACTTGTAACTAAAATATCAACCTTGGGTAGACAGATCATTTAACTCCTTGGCGCCGAGCGTATGCAAATATGCGGCCTCACAGCGGCTGGGCCTTGGCCCTGAGGGGCTGCAGATTTGTGCAACCAATGTAAACAAAACGTGCCGAGAGTGTGAGCCTTGCGTGCTTCATGGAAAGGTCCCGATCGCTACTTGCAGTCAGGAGCAGGGGCGGACTGACAACTCATGGGGCCCCCGGGCAATAGGGGATCATGGGGCCGTGTCCTTGCCCAAACTCAAAAAAAAGCCTATGAAAAAAAAGGTACCAGGGGCATCTTATGGGGCCCCCTACTGACCCCGGGCCGTGCCCAAGTTTCCAAATGGTCAGTCCGCCCCTGGTCAGGCGCTTTCTGATCATGTGACCACCTCCCAACATCACAAACCCTTTAAAGGGCTGGGAGGTGCTGGTGCCAAGGGGTTAAAGATTTTTCCTAAAATGTAGTAAAACATGTTAAAAGTGTTTGTAATGTATATATCTGACATAAAAGTAATTTTGCATGTTTTAATTAAAATGTTCCTTTCAGTTTCAATCTCCAAGTAAGCATACATATTCTTTTATTAGAATTTACATCTATTGTTCTCCTTGTTGTCTCTTTTCCATTCTCACATTACTGTACACAACAAATCACATTTAGCCTATGATAAGAAATACAACATCCCTGCTTAAAGTAGTATATCAAAGCAAACCTGTGTTCTGACCATGCAAAGCAATGCAACAAATTTGTTGAAATGCCCCACTTCCTTCCCCTATACCAGGGGTAGGCAACCTGCGGCTCTCCAGCTGTTGCAGGACTACAAGTCATAGCTGTAACTGTCAGTTTTGTAATGTTGCAATGCGTCATGGGAAATGTAGTTCCACAACAGCTAGAGAGCCGCAGGTTGCCTACCCCTGCCCTATACAAATGGCAAATATAGAAAGTACTGGGATTAACTGGAGACATTCACAAGTACTTTAAAGCGGAACATCACTTCCTCAATCAACATGGACTATTTCTAATCCTTATGCTGCTAGCATTAGGAAATAGATAGGAAAGTATGTCATATTTACTTGTTTTAGGTTTTTTTTTTTCTTTTATTGCATTCCTTCATTTACTCTCTGGTTTCCATGACTAGGCAACTGGTGTCATACACACCAGGAGTCTTCAGGAGGGGAGGGGTCTGAGCTCAGGACAGATGGATACCAGGAACTGCTACATGAATCATCTGCCCTTACTCAAGATGGCCACTGCCAGAAATTCCAGGAGGCATTTTTTCAAAATTATTTCTCAGCAAAAAAGCATGGAGACATGGATGGATGGAGGAGTTTGTTTCAACTATTGAAAATTAATTACATAGCATTTTTGATTTGTGGTACTCCGATGCAGTGCAGTTCCACTTTACGAGCAATGCAAACATTCATTGTTGCATACCAAGATTTTCAAAAATTCTTCTTTCCTGTAGATAAAATGGAGTGATCTCTTACTGCAGGTACACAACACTTGTTCTGCCAAACAAACGATGTTGTCAAAAGTTATTTGATGATGCATATTACAGAACTGCTCCATATATGTATAGCTTTAGTGATTTATTGAGGTTTTTTTGGATATTCATTTAGTTTGGACCTAAATGTACATACAATTAAGCTGAGGATAAGGTTATTATAAATATTTACAAAGATTTACACTGAACACTTTGTGCAGATAATGTCATCTTCTGTGTTTTGACAAAGGCCTCGTTTTTCTCATAGTAAGCTGCTTCATTCACAAACGTTGGATATACAGTGTGCTCTCCTTCATAGGGAATGACTTTCCCATCCATTGTGATAAACATAGGGTCCCCTGGGTTCAGAGCTCTCCAATCCTGGTCCTGTAAGGCAGGACAAAAAATAAATAAATAAACCAGGTGGAATTGCTAGTAAATAATATTACAACACATACAAACTTTGAATTTATTTCAGCCAAATACATTCCAGGTGCAATAAAACAAAAAACACAAAACATAAAAAAAAAAAAAAAGTGTAAAAATGTATTTTCTTTCCAAATCAGCCACAGCCTGTAGAAAAGCCTGTCCCTTACCAACAGTTTTATAGTAGGCCCTTTTCTGTCTGTGGGGAAGCAGTGGTCCTATTGCAGAGGTCTTACATGTCCCTTACGAAGTCAGACCTGTAGCTCTAAATTAGCAAGGGACATGTTGTACCTCTGCAACGAGATCTCAGCTTCCCTAAAGAGATCAAGGGTCCCACTTTTGCAGCATTTTGGCAGGACACAGGTTTTTCCACTCAGGCTGTGGCTGAGTGAAGGTTCATCACATCCTTGTCAGTTTACATTCTAGTGGCCACAACATGTCTTGTATGTATGTGTTCGTGCAAGACAACATTGTCTGGGGGCTGGAAATGGTTGTATATTTTCAATTTTTAATCACATTGGTTATATCGTGGTAATGTATTCGATTTTATATCAAAATGTATACTTAATTATTGATTTTTAATACTGGCTATTTAGTTCTTAGAAGTAACCTTTTTTTTTTATATGGGGGCCTTTCCCCATCCTTTACAATATTGGTTGTCAGCCACAGGGGAATCACGGAACGGACATTCCCTGATCACCTCCTGCTTTTGAAGTCTACTCAATGGACCCTGAAGGAATAGGATAGTAGGGGAACCACTTTGGGTGTCGGTGGAGGGGTGGGTGGCACTTCTTGAGTCCTGTAAAAGTGATCAGATGGCTCTAGAGTTGCCCAGATCACATTTACCTTAAAGGCGAGAGTCAGCTGTACAAACATTGCCAAGTTCATGGCTACAGTAGCAGCAGCCATTAGCTTGTTTTAACGCCTTGAATACCAGGACATTTATAAACATACCTTGGTATACAGAGAGTCAGTGACATAACTATACATACTTTCATGTAAGGCAGTATGAGTTGCACAAAGGCTTACAGAAAAACAGCCACTTTTTTTTTTTTTTGTCTGTGAAGGTTCTCAGTTATTCAGGTTATGATATAGCTAGTATTCGTTCAAATTCAACTAAACTTTTTCTGTAATTTTTAAGCATTTTGCAACTAACCTAAAATGGCCTTAGCTCTAAGTAAAGTGGGAAATCTATGCTGTTATGGAACAAATACAGAGGATTGTGACAAACTACTACTGGGCCTCTAGGGCCTCCTGATCCCAGTCCTGCCATTAAAGTAAGAGAGCAAGGCTAACCTGAAGATTTTCATGAATGATAGCAGTAAGTTCACCATTCTCATTCCTGGGGTAGGCGGTTTTCTCTAGCACTTTGAACACTTCAATACTACATGGTGGAAACTCTGAACCTGGAGGGAAGCAAACATATTAAAAATAGGACAAAGTAACAACCATGAGACAAATTGTACATAATCCAGTTTAACTTTTCCTATTAGGGAAATCTTCTCCCTTAAAAATGGGATTGCTAGATTCCAAGATTAATCAAGAACATCAATTGAAGGACTTTTTCTATTTCATTCCAGCAGCTCTTCACAGGGTACACAAATCATTTGGATAAAAATTTCAGCCTCATGTTCCTACAATCATGTATACATATGTAATGGGAAGCAGGTTCTTTAAATCAGACTCCAGCCAAGGTAATGCTATGACACCTCACCTCTGACACCTTCTGTGTAAGGTATGTAAACAGGCTGTGGGAAAAAGGTTAGTGTGTTGAGGATCATGCTAACGTTCTCATGTTCTCTTGAGAGGCTGAACCAAGAAAAACAATGTAGATGAGTGTTGTCTGGAATGAGTGTTCCCTTCAGAGGAGCACTGTTAATGCTCCTCCTTTAGTAGGCAAGACTCCTCCTTTATTCCTCCTCTTTAAGGGAAAGATGGAGATTTCACTTTTAACTCCGTGGGAGGAAGTCTCTCTCTGTAGACTTTGCCACTGTTCTATTATCCACTATTCCTAAGGACTGATGTTCTGTCATACTATTAAATGCTGCCATGGTAAAGATAGCCTCATTGTGAAAACCTTGTGTAAGATTCTATTTTTTTCTGAAACAGGGAAATGCTCTCAGGCATGGGGCTGTGCTTGGGGACAAGGCAGGACACAAGGTTGGTAGGTGAACTGGCCGTACATTTAAAAAGGTAAAACTTAATTCCAGGTTATGGCAGGTTAAAACCTTCTCTAGAAATGAGGTCTGTGTCTTGCTGCTCTATTAGTTATGAAAACTCTTGGGGGTCCATGCAAAGGAATTGTGCTGTGCCATATGGGTGGTTCGAGAGAAGCAAGGAAAGAGTTAAACTCTTATTTGTGCTCTCCGCAACACAATATACTCAGTTCATTTTTGGTCAAAAGCTAACTTATATTTTTTGGAATTGCATTTGTATATGTAGACGTGAAGACAAAACTAATTGTCTCTTTGTGAGATTCTGGGTAAGGTAGAGGGCTAGACGCCCAATACACCACGTTAAAGGGAATTATTAACACTCGTTCACATGTATGTGTGTTGTAAACCTTGTACCTGCGTGATGTTACTGATTCCTAAAGATTTGAGAGGCCTCAGTTCAGCTCCTAAATTAAAATTTGAGCTTTGTACAGACCATTTGTGCATTTTAAATATAGCCAAAAGCATAGGATTCAAGAAAATTCACTGGAATTATAAAATTATTACAACAGTGAGCTTTTGACTGTATGCTAAATACACATAATGCCAATGTATTCTGCAACACTTTACAATCTGGGGAGAATGTATTGTATATACACTTATTAAAGTAAGATAACAGATATCGAAACTCAAAAAAAATTGGTAAAACTATAGTCCTGACCACAAGAGCCTGCAGCTTGAAGCAGTAGAAGGCTGTTACCTTCATTAAATTGTTGCATGAAGTCAAGAGCATAAATGATTATTCTCCTCATTTTCTCCAGAATATCTGCTCGAATAACACCTTGAGGTTGTGGTCCCACTTCAATTCCTGTTAAAAAAAAAAAAAAAAAAAAGTGTGGAGATTACAAAATGTATTTTAGTTTCAATTACAGTGCTGTATTTCAATCTGTATGTTAGTTGCAGAGTATGGTTATAGTGCTTATGGATGCCATGCCTGTAGAAGTGGGAATGAAATTAAAATAAGGGTGTGGATTTTACCTTGCATTGGGACCAAATTTTTCAAAATATTTTGCTGTAGAGAAGATTAAAAATTAGAACATTTTGGAGCCTTTGAATAAAAGTTTTAAAAATGTCTACATATAGCTGTAAAAGCTTTTCATACACTGTGATGCAGCCAAACTCAGATTTCTACTACGCCCTTAGGACAGAGAATAATTGGATGAATGATCGTCCGTTTTTTTTTTGCATGCTAGTCTCATGTTGAAAATAAAGAGGTTACTCGTGTTACAAAAATTCTTGTATGACAGAATAAAAATTCAGAAGTAATGCATTGCATTTTCTGACGAAACCCGATTAAACCAAAATCAGACATACAATCTGGTATCACACAAGAAATTTTTTTGTGCTTGTCTCTTCGAATAATTTCAGACGAAAGCTGTGTACTAATGATCAGAATATCGTACGATCACTTCGAAAAGCAGTATTTTTCCGCATACGATTTTCTGATCTTGTGTACTAGGCTTAATACACCAAAACCACATAGTCACAGTATCTATGCTTCCTTACAGTATGTTGCAGCTTGTCTAACTTACCAACAGGGTGCTTTGCTATAGAACGTGTAGTTGCATATTTTACTTTGGGGTGTTCAATGAGCAGCACAGAGCAATGTACAGGAGCCATGGATTTCTGTAATACAATGAATGAAACCAACGTAAAATTTTGTTTTTGGATGGGTCACAATTAAAATGCAGTAATGATGAAAATGTTATAGAAAGAACAGAACAGATATTCATTTATTTCATTGTGCTTGTCAAAAAAAAAAAAAATAAATAAATATACATATACATATACAAGGGGAGATTTACTAAAACTGGAACCCCCTATGCATGGTAGCCAATCAGCTTCTAACCTCACTTTGTTCAATTAAGCTTTGGCAATAAAACATGGAAGCGGATTGGTTTATATGCAGAAGTGCACATGATTTTGTACTTTCCAGTTTTAGTAAATAAACCCTTGTGTGTGTTGGGGAAACTGCCTTTAAAGCACATTTAGGCTTGCATTAGAATGGTAAAATGTCAAGTGTAGTGCTGAGCACAGTGCATTGGGTTTCACAGCATTCTTGCTTACAAATAAGAGATGAGACTCTGGTATGTTTCTCATGAAGAGAAGCGAGTTTGAAGAGGAAAAAAAAAAAAAAATTAAATATCAGTAAGCCTTTACTGTTTTGGATGGGTTACAATTAAAATCCAGTAATGTTGAAAAAAAATTATAGAAGGAACAGATATTCATTTATTTCATTGTGTCTGTCCAAAAAAATCTGCACATACTGGGGGTGATTTACTAAAACTGGTGCACTCAGAATCTGCTGCGGCTGTGCATGGTAGCCAATTAACTTCTAACCTCAGCTTGTTCAATAAAAACTGGGAGCTGATTAGTTTCTATGCAGAAGTGCACCTAATTTAGCACTCTCCAGTTGTAGTAAATAAACCCCATTACGTGTGTTGGGGACATTGCCTTTAACGGCTACCCATCCACCCATTGCCTATAGACGGAAGATAGGAAGTAGAGCTGATGCAGGCTAACACACCTGTACATCAACCCACATCAGAGGCTCCTGCAGGGCTCACGGAGCGTGCACCCGGAAGCCCAGTGATCCAGGTGTCACCTGGCCACAGCAGATCACATTCCCGCTGTGTCCAGGTGATCACATGGTATTGTACCATGTGATTGCTATGTCCAATCACAGCAATCACACAGTAAACCATACCAAGTGAAAGTAAGCATCAGTTATCTCTGCCTTTTTATTATTCTGGGGTTGATAGTTGCATAAAATAAGTAATAAGACATTAAAGCAGACCTCTCACCCCTCTGCATAAAAAGTAAAATTAAAAAAAAAAAAAAAAAAAAAAAAAAAAAAAACTAAAACTTTCTCATCTCTAGGCCATTTTCATTGGTGCTGTAGCCAGTGCTCCCAGCTTCCTACTAGGAAGGCTACATTATCAGTGCCTTCCAGGTGTATTGGAGGTAATGCTTGATACCTCAAGAATTTGTTTTTGTACAGCTCTAGCTGTAATTAAACAATCATATGCCACCGTGGAACTCATAAGGCTCCTGTGCAAGATGTGCTGCAGACATCATTGAAGGGACATCCTCAAATTTAAGGAAATAGGCCCTGTCCACAAACGATGGAAATTTTCCAGGTAGCTGAAGGGCAAAATCTCGGGAATTTGTTTTTCTACATCTCTAGCAACAGTTAATGTCAAGCCACTGTGAAACTCATAATACTCCTGTGCAAGATCTGCTCCATTGTCTGGCCTTGTATTTAAAGTGGTTGTAAAGGCTGAAGGTTTTTTTACCTTCATGCATTCTATGCATGAAGGTAAAAAACCTTGTGTGCAGCAGTGCCTTCAGCCCCCTCAATACTTACCTCTGCCCCATCGCAATCCAGCGATGTGCACTACAGTCTCAGCTGTCCCGGGTATCTGCCTCCTCATTGGCTGAGACAGCAAGCAGGAGCCATTGGCTCCCACTGCTGTCAATCATAGCCAGTCAGCCAATGAGCAGAGGGGGGTGGGGCCAAGTTGCGCCACCATGTGTGATTGGACAAACAGAGCAGCAGGTGCCCCCATAGCAAGCTGCTTGCTGTGGGGGCACCCAACAGGAGGGAGGGGCCAGGAGAGCCTGCGGGGGATCCGAGAAGAGGAGGATCCAGCCTGAAAAACCACTGCGTACCAGCAGGTAAGTATAGACATGTTTGTTATTTTCCAAAAAAAAATTAACCTTTAGAATTGCTTTAAGGAAATAGACCTGTCCACCAATGATGGAAATTTGAATATGTTGATATATTTTCAGCAGAAAATGTAATAATGCTCACAGTAACTACCAAGGGTGGGTGATAAAGACCCCTTGTCTTTTGTTTATCAGAAGGGTGCTGAAAACATATTTAAGCAAGATGATTTAAACCTCTTCACAATACTACAGTAGTACATTAGTTAAAGATAATACAGTTTGTTAGAACAGTTTAATCAGAATAATTCATCAAGGGAAGGATGGCACCTTGACATAAAGAGTAGTTCTGGAGTACAAGATAACCTGGGACTGCAAGCTTTAACCTGCTGGATCTGCTGGGAACCCATGTTACTGGCATACCTGAACCTCATCTTTACTTAAAACCACAAACTGGTCACTGCCATAAAACAGTTACATGTGGTTTTGCAACTTCAAGACCTCTCCCTGTTTCATCGCATATAAAGAACAATTAGCATTCAATTGTATGCTCACAACTAACCTATGGGAAGCACAGGTCATCCAGGCATCCATGTGGAGGCAATTCCATTCATGTCAATTGGGACACAGCAGCTGCATAGACACAGGTACTGCCCCCAAATCGGACACCCTTGTGGGTGCATGCCCCGAGCGCACTCTGTCTGCATTGAAGGCCTCACACCTGCACCCACACTGCTGTCAAACTGCAGTAGAGGCTTTATCCGTGCAATTGCTGTGTTCCAATTGACATGAATAGGACTGCCTGCTCGCAGATGCACAGGAACACCTGTGCATCCTATGCAGACAAAACATGGCCTGTGAATGAGGCCTGCCAATTATTGCTGCTGATTGTCAATTATGTTTCACCCAGATGGGAATGATGCTTGTTTAAATACTTATGGATGATGAAGCAGAAATAAAATATATTTAAATAACCTATTGTTTACCCTGGACAGGGAATTCTGCTTACCCTGCATTGGGCTGCTTGGCTTTTCTTGTTCATAAATTCGTTCACAATTTACAGATAAGCATTTTCATTTTCTTTTACCAAAGATTTTATTAAGCATGTTGAAAGAAACATACATACATACATACCATGACAAAATCATATGTTACAAAACGACAGCAAACAATAGAGGACAGGGAAACAGGAGTAAAAAAAAAACAAACAAAACAAAACAAAACAAAAAAAAAAAAAAAAAACACAAAACACTCATACAAGACCCACGTCGGGGTCTAGCTAACACTGTGTAAGACAGAGGGCCACGAGGCCCACAATCACATCCAGAAATATAAAACTACATTAAGAAAGGCAGCAGAAAAAAAAAAAAAAAAAAAAAAAACCCACACACAAAAGAGAGCCTCCCCCTCTTGAGGCAATATTGACCGACCCTGAGAATCATAGATTTGTTAGATAGCCATAGCAAAATGATAGACGATTGGTCCAATAAAAAACAAACCATATGAAAGAAGAGAAAAAAAAAAGTCGAGTAGATATAAAGTATTTTCATTTTCAAGCCTGCAAACATTAGGATTATGACTGCTATGTACAATCCATTCATTTTCCCGTTTTGGTTTTTACAAATGAAACCCAGAGTATCTCAAATTTATAAAAAAAAAAAAAAAAAAAAAGTGTTGGGCAGTGTGCATTATTTGTGCTCTAAAACTAGATTGTGCATCCAATGTAAATTGTGTATTTGCTGTGTAAAAGAAAAAACTGTCAATAATAAAAGGTGAGGATAAAAAAGTCAAATTGTAACCCAGCAGCTTGCTGGCTCTGAGGAACTTGAGCCAGGCCTTTACCTGAATGTAATGGAACATCTGAATTGTGAAATCATCATTGGAATCCTCAAGAATCAGCGTAGCTCCCATTTTGGAGGTGGTGTTGTGAAGGTCCAGGATAACATCATAGGCATCTTTACTCCCTTTTGGACCAAATATGGAGTTGATCTCTTGAGCCCGTGTTATCTCATAGGGTATTTTTACTTTATTTTGTAGACTGTAAAATAAGCACACCGAATGCTCAGATGTACAAAGATACTTGAATGAACGTTGTCGTTTGTTGAGGAAAATGTGCTTCTATTACATACACACCCACATGGAGAAATAGACAACCAGGAGTTAAATTTCCTAAAGGCTCTTGTATTGGAGTCAATGTGGTAAAGTTTCACTTTGCAAAGGATACCCAATCACATGCAAGGAAACTGAAAAACAGCAGTTTTGCTTGCACATGATTGATGATTAAGTCTCTGCTGTACCTAATTCACTAAGCTCTGGGGCAAATTCCCTTGCAAAGTAAACAGTATATTTGCCTTTAGTAAATCAACCTCACAATGTCTGGAGTTTTTCTGTACTCCCTACTAAGCAGAACAGTCACAGAAAAACATGATGTATTAGCAAACCTAGTACACCAGTCTTTATATAAGGAACCATAAATGACATGGCCAACTATCACACAGTTGTAGGTTTGTGCCCTTACCATACAAAATCTTCATTTGTTATAGATTCACACTTTAATTTCCATGCCTCCCCTCCCCTCCTTCAACAAGACATTGAAAGAAGAAGCAGCACACTGATAAGCTCATCTCTCCATCACTCTGCTCTCTCCTCCCGTCAGCGTGCTCCATGCACTGCAGCACAAATGACTGGCTTCCTGTACAAACTGGACAGTAGACTGCAAAAGGCTGATATCAGGTGAAATTCAGGAACTGTATTTACTGATTATATTGCTTGTAACACAATCTGTGAATGGGGGAAAAGTCTGATTAGTCACAGGATTCTCTCCCCTATTCCCTAATGCTGTTTTAGGCAGCATAATAAGTGAGAGGAGGGGATGGGTCTTCTTTGGATCACCTTTAGTGCAGCCAAGGCTGTGGATAAGGGGGTACCACCAGTCCTCCTGTATGGGGCCCAGGCCAGTGGGGAGGTTCCCAGGCAGATGGATGAATCTGATGTGGGCAGGAGGTGTGATCGTCACAATGGGGAGGCAATTACTGGAACCGATCCCCTGTATGGCTCTCTCTGCAGCAGCGGAAAGCTGGGTTCTTCTCTTCTCCCACCTGCTGGCTTTCAGCTGCTTCAGAGAGCCTTACAGTGGATCGGTTCCAGTAATTACCCCTGCCACAACCATCACCCTCCCTGTGCACTATATGTTTCCCCTTGCTGCGCAGGCCCCTCTGTGTACCCCCACCCCAGCAGTGCTGCCAGCTTCCCTTCTTTCCTTCCCACTGGCAGCTGCAAGCACAAAATAGGATCCTTCAGGATGGAGAGTGGGGGGGGAAGGGTCACACATTTACCAGCCCCTTCCTTTCCTGAACGAACACAATAAGTGATAAGTACCGATCACTCACTGTGTTCATTTATAACCGAAGCATAGTAAACTGTTTTTTTTTTTCATTTGGAGGGGGGGGGGGGGGGGAGGCCCTGTCAGGTTGGCTGTATGGGGCCCTGTGTTTCTATCAGAAGCTCTGAGTGCAGCTGAGCCTTGAGACCTGAAGCTGTTAACCCCCTCATTGCCAGAAGTTTAGAAACAGGAAGAGGACAGGGAAACCCTGCAGTAAAGCTTTCTACAGAATCCAGATTGCACATAGTGGGACATACTACATTATAGTTAAGTAATGTAATAAAAGCTGTAGTAGGAAAAAGTTTTTAGCTAAGCTTTAACTGCTTACTCAGAAACAGCGAACAGAAAAAAAATCAAAAGCTAGCAATCCCCAATGTAAAAAAAAAAAAAAAAAAAAAAAAAAAAAAAAAAAAACAGTCTCTTTAGGATTACTGCTCAGCAGTGACCAGTCTGCAAGTTTTTCCAGCTAGTTCTCCCCCATTAACTCGATAAGGAGTATTATGTCTAACCAACGAAATGATTAGGTTGCTTTCCCCAACCAATGAGAAAGCTGCAATCATTTTAATAATGCAATGTCTAAGAAAGGAGAATAGGAAAACCCTAAATGGTAACCAGACATATTTCAGGCACACAAAGGGTCCTGCTCACTTCAGAGACATGTGTTCTGCAGGACTCTGGGAAATCCCAAAGCAGAAGCACTTGTGATATTGAAGCAAAGTAAATCCATTGAGCGCATGCCAGACACCAAACATCAGGCACAAAGCCAATCCCACCAAAAGTGAACAACACACAGAAATGTCAGTGGGCATTTCCAGGGAAGAGGAACATTCTGTTCCCTCGCCATGTCTCAGCTATGGAGAAGGGGAGAAAGACTCAGCAGTGTATCCTCTAAAGTGTCTTCAAGACTGGCTGACATATAAGCTTCTCAAGACAAAAGAATACAATCAGATTTTCTCTGCTCAGAACACATTTTTCTGTCTAGGCAGTTTTAGACAAGTTCATAGGATTTTTTTTTTTTTTTTATTTTACACTAAGTACATGTTGGGTTTGACATACTAAAAGCAGATAGGTGGTTCATCTTGCAAGGGAAGTTGCACTTTGCAAGTGAATTTTCAAGCATACGCAGTACAAGAAAAATAGCATTATTACCAAATCTTGACCAGATCTGCAGTGGCCTGTTCACATTTCTTCACATGAAATACATGCAGTTTCACAGTTGCTTATGATGCATTTTTACATAGTTACATTGGTCCACCACAGATCAGTGCAAACATGTATGTGCCATACCTATAGAATCCCTGTGGAAGCTGGAATTCACTGTAGTTGGCATCTGCTCCAGTCATCTCACTTGCTTCTGGGTCCCATGCTGAGCATATGCCCTGCTGCATTGTAAACACAGGTGATCTCTCTCTTGGCATGGTCACCATTCAGAAAACACTTTGGATTCATTGAGAAAATCTAAAGTGTTCAATTGGACAAGGTGGAGAGAAGGGACAGTGACATCATGATCTCTACCTTTTCAAATCAGAGAACACTTTAATTTTCACATTCATTGAGAAAATGTAAAGCATTATCTGGATGGCACCCATGAAGAGTTGGCGATCTCCTGTGTTAACTAAGCAACAGAGCAGTTACTCAGCATGGGACTTGGAAGGTAGCGGCAATCACTGTAGTAGCGGTGAATTCTACAGTGATTTCCAGCTTCCACAGGTATGGCACATACAGTATCTACTTTCATTGGTCCAGGCTGGATCAATATGTAAAACTTGCCATACCTTCACTTAAGTTTCAAAGCATGTTGAAGCATTTTGCTTGTATTTTTATTCATTTTCATTTATTTTATAACTAATAAAAACTGTTGGGGCCTTTTTCATGTTTTAAACAACACCTGTATTGTATGCATAACTATTTACTCCTATTAGAATGATAAAGGACTTCTGCATAGACAATCTGCCCCAGGTACAGTTACTTTTAACAATTACTGTAGCATAGCTGTGTAAAATCCCTCCATTGCCTTCAGTTCACTCTAGTGGTGTCCTGCTGTGTAGTTGGGGAGAAGGATCGTATTAAAAGTGTAGCAAAGCAGAAAAGTGTGAATAGGCCATTAGCTCAAGCAGCTTTGGTCCACTTGTATACCAGACACAAACCAAGGCTTTAAAAGAAGTAGGAGGTACTGGACTTGGAGCTTAGCTTTTCTTCAAATACAAATAGATTGTGATCTTTGTTGAATGGATCTCAGAAACTCGAGAGACAAAAAAAAAAAAAAAAAATATGAGGAGCTGGGCCTACAGATGTGGGACCTACACCTACCCAACTTTAAGTGTGTGAATGGAAGGAACCAAGTGCCAAACAATCATTTTAAGTCCATATATCCTTTATTCTTGATATAAAAAGTCACAACCAGTAGAGGAGAGACAGCTAATATATTCTGGGGGCCAAAGCACCCCCTTTCATCAGGACTCAAGCATGGTTGTTAAAAATTCAAAAAGGACTGTGTTGTGATCTCCCATGCAGAAATATCTAGGTGGCAGGCATGTAGAATCCAGTGGCTGTGCACGACTATTTTGCTTTGTAGCTAGTAAAAGGTGACTTTAGCAAGGAAGCTTAGACCTCTGTGGTACAATAATGTGCTTTACTAAACAAAAATTCTGTACATAGAAACTATTACAATTATAGGAAAAATAGTACAAAACTGGCAGATATACATACAAGCAAATTGTCACCTACTTCCTAACAAATAAGCAAGTCTGTATACAATGGAAATTTGCTAAAAGGTTACTTAACTCCGAATATAGAGGCTTCACAATCTCTGTAGGTAATGCAGACCCCAGGCTTGCTCTAAAGCGGTTGCAGGACATAGGGCTAAAGCGGTTTCAGGTTTTGGCAGAGAACTTCCTTGGAGTTAAGTCATCATGGAGTCCTCCTGTCAGCATAACCTTCCGACCTTTTATTTGAAGCGTTTACCATCCCCACATGGATGTGGCCCCTTTTACAATACAGGGTTTCAATACCAGAAACAAACAAACATTCTCCAATTTGACCACAAGTTGGCACTGTGGTATCATACAGGTCATAGGTCATCTCTGTCAAAAGTCAAGCTGTGTTTGGCTATGGTTACAGAACAATAGACTGACAACTAATAAGCTGAACTACAACAATAGTATCTATGTTACCATCGTATCCAGCAGCAATTGTTTGAGAAGTATCTCCTCAAACTCTATGGAACTTGAGATCTGTCTCAAAGACAGACAGTCTGGGGAAATCAGTGCACATATACTGGGTGTGAGAATATATAATATATATATAAAAATATAAATCTCTCAAAATTCAACACAATGATAGAAAACACTTGTTTCGTTTTGGATTCATTTGTTAAGTTAATAACTTAGTTTTATTATATTAGAGTGATTAATTTTCGGTATATTTTGTGTATTAGGTTTCATATATTCATTATTTTCAAATCTATTCGAACTTCATAAGATGGCTATATTTATTCTGTTTGGTTCTATTCTTTTCTAATTTTATGTTAGAATGATTTGTTTTTGGAATTTGCTTCATATATTCGGATTTGTTTCATATATTTGTTATTTTCTCAAATTTTGAAATTCAAGTTTCAGAAGATGGCTATATTCGTTCTATTTTATTCTAATAGAGTCTATTTTTTCTGTTTTATTCCATTCTATTCTTTGTTTTTTATTCTATTGTTTTATATTATATTCTGTTTTATTCTAGAATATTCCATTCAGCAGCCTAAATAAGAATCTTATTTAAATTGTATACCTTACTGCATTTATAACAATATGTTTTCATTTCAAATTAAAAAAATTTATTTCTAATTTTGATGAAACTTGTTATTGTGATTTGGAAATTTGGATACATCAGAATCTCTGAATAACAAAATGTTGTCTGAATTTTGATTCATATTAAAATTAATTGTACATGTCTAGTGTGCAGTAATATTGCCAGCAGCCTATCTGCAATGCTACTACACAGCCACAGAAACATGATGGTTTTTCTTTTCTACTGGTTGGGACTGTTATCAAGAATACAGAATATATGGGCTTTAAGTGATGGTTTGATGTTTGCTTTATTCCATTCACAAAGCAAGGCCTGGCTGTCTTGTCTAGTCCTGGTTATGAAGCAGCACACACACTTATGACACATTTTGATTAGCAAAGGTTTCCATGAATAAATTAAAACAGCACCACATTGTATCTAGGCACATCAACATAAATTGAAGAAGAAGGTTGTGTTTCAAAGAAAGACAGAAAAAAAGGCAAGGCTTTCTTACCCAAGACCTTGATTGTCAAAAACTCTGTTCAGGTCAGTGTCAACATATCTAACACATTTCTCCACAGCGTTGGGGTTGGTAATAAAGGGTCTCACTTCCATGCCCGATCTGGCAATCTCCCCTGCATGTTTTAGCCAATGTTTAACTAGAAAAACTCCAGTGAGTTCATTTCCATGGGTACCTCCAAATATAGCCACCCTACGTATGGAAGAGACACCACTGCTCACAGACATGGCTGGGGAAAAAAAAAAAAAAAAAAAAAAAAAAAAAAGAAAAAAAAAAAAAAAAAAAAAAAAAAAAAAAAACCGCATAATGTGTGTATAGAAATACAATAAGAAACATCTGATTCAATAATGTGCTAAGGCTTCACCTACACTGGTGCAGCTAACCGTATAGCTGCCAATAGCAATGAATAACTTTTCGCTAGCTGAGCTTAGGACATACTTGCATAAACGCACGCACATGCATATGGGAAAAATCTCTGAATACAGCTTGTGTGTCCGTGCAAATAGAGATATCAATGGTTAAAGGTTCATCACATTCAACCAGTGTTGAATGCCTAGTCCCCCATTTGATTCTTTACTATGGGGTGCATTTATAAAATTAAAAAAAATAAATAAAATTGCTATTCGTCCTGTGAAACTACATGTACACTTGTTCTGTTCAAATGGGGTCAGAACTGATTGTTCTGAAGCCATTTATAAAAAAAAAAAGAAAAGAAGAATGGATTGAGACAATATTGCATTATGGGCACTAGCAATAGATCAGTGGTTCTTAACCTTGTTGGAGGTACTGAACCCCACCAGTTTCATATGCGCATTCACCGAACCCTTCTTAATTGGAAAAATAAAATATGATTTTTAAAATTCAAAACATAGGTATATATTTATACATAGGTGCACAAAATGAACAAAACCATTAAAACATGATTTTCACACAAAAACAAAATAATGAATATTTACCGTAAATCAGTGTGACTTCTGCTGTTGTCTTTCAGAGGCCAGTTCAGAAATGCGCGGCATTACCTTGGCAAGTGCCACTCCCATGTCATTTTTGCAACATATTCTGTTCCTTTTCTTCGTCTTTATGTCCAGCATCCTCGAAAAGGATTGCTCGCAAAGATATGTTGTAACAAACGGTATGAAAATTCATCCCCCATAGTAATTCATCCCCCATATAGTAATTCATCCCCCATATAGTAATTCATCCCCCCTATAGTAATTCATCCCCCCTATAGTAATTCATCCCCCCTATAGTAATTCATCCCCCCATATTAATTCATCCCCCCATATTAATTCATCCCCCCATATTAAGTCCCCAAGTCCCCCCTGTGTCAATTCACTTACCTTTGCTCCGTGCGTTCCTCTCGCTGTATTCCCGCGCCGTTCCGGTCTTCAGGGCGGACTGTGAGAGGAGCCTAGCTCCTCTCACGTTCGTCACGCTGCCCCGCCTACACACATCCTGACAGCCAATCACTGGCTATCAGGATGTGAGTGGCAGCGAGACTGGCCAATCATTGCATTTGAGTCCCTGCCGCCCGAGAGGAGGGAGGGGAGCGGGCGCCCGGCACACAAGAGCCGCGGCTTGCCGACCACTGGGCACGTCATCACAAATCATATGAGTCGGGTGTGGGTCACCTCCGCCGAACCCCCGAGACTGACTCACCGAACCCCTGGGGTTCGATTGAACCCAGGTTAAGAACCACTGCAATAGATGATCACAGTCAATAAGTATTTCCATTGCTCATCAGCCCCATCTACTGGCCATAATGCAGTATTTTCATGACTCATTCTGTATAAATGAATAAGATTCAACCTGGAGAGCAAATAGCCTAATAATATTTGATTTTGCCTCCATTTGCACAAAACGAATGTGCATGCAGTTTCACAATGTGTTCTGTAGTGAGGCAGGAGCTGGAGTGAGGAACCAGTCAGCAGAGGGAGACCAGGCATCTGAAATGGCCAGAAGGCTGTTGGATGCCGAAGAATCTTCAGCCATAGAGGAGAATAGCAGTGTTATGGAGTTATTATACAAATGCAGAGACTGTTTACGGTAATATTGCATTGCTTATACTTCCTGTTGGCTCTCTTACCTTTGACCTGGATGTAGTTATGCAGTTCAACATGACTCCTCAGACTAACAGCTTGCAGCATCTTCATTTCTATACATGACACATGGTGCCAGAAGTGACTGGAATTGGGACCAAGCCTCTTGTTTAGATACAGCTCTGTTTGGGGTGTTATGGCTTAATACAGCTCTTAGTGTTTTTTCTGTTATTGGAGTACTCAGACTTAAAGTGTTACTAAACCCACAACAGTAAAATCAGTCTGTATATGCAGTACACCATGCTTGTTATATTCACTGTGGAATCTAAGGGGTTAATCCTCTGCTTTGTAAAAAAAAGACTGTTTGGTTCTGTCTTCTCTGCCCCTCCTCTTGTTCAAAATGTCCACCTAATAAGACAGAGTAAACCCGTAGTCACGCTGCACATGCTCAGTTTAGGGTATCTTGCTAGACAGGTTTTTTTTTTTTTTTTCTTGGGAAAGTGCATGTGATCAACACAGGGCCAGTCAGCACTGTCCAGACAGAGGGTCAGGGGTTTTGCATCTTCCTAGAGCAGAAAGAAAACTCCTCCTACAAGCTTTAACCAGTGCTCTGCTGAACACTGATAGAAGTTACAAGACTGCTCTCAACTGTTGATGAGAAAAGGTATTTAGCAGTTTATACTTACTAAAATAATTGCATTGCCATGTTCTGGGTACTGTGGGAGACCAGATATAGTGAATGCAGAGTCCTGGGTTTTAAACACCTTAAATAATAATCTTGGCGGCTCGATTCTGGAGGGACATGTGATGTAATGTACTTGAGAGACAAAATGATGTTAGCACCTGAAGCACGTCTAATGCCAAGTGACATCAAACTGAAGTTATACTCAGGTGAGAATATGAAATCTTTAGGTTTTTCAGGACTGAATGTGTCATTTGTGGACTGACTTACAAGCTAGAGTTTGAAATTTTGGAAGCCTGCCAAAAGTCACTGTTATCCAGCTCAATCCCTGAGCATCTAGGGCTAATGCATCACCGCAGAACTCGGCATAATGGACAATCAATTCAAATGGCCCTTGACAAAATGACAACTATGACAGGAATTTAGTGATGTTTTTACCCCGATGAGGGTGTTCCTCCAGTCTAAAGAACACCACGCACAGCTTGACCAGTACGAGGCTGATGGACATTTAGCACCAGTGACTGAACCAACTGATTGGATAAGTAACATGGTGATTGTAAAGAAGCCTGATAAGTTAAGGATATGCATAGATCCCAAATTCTTGAATCAAGTACTGAGGTGATCTCATTACATCATGCCAACCCTCGAGGATGTTTTGTACAAAGCTGCCAAAGGAGCAACTGTTCACGCTTGTTGATGCCCGGGATGCATTTTTACAAGTTGGATACAGCAAGTAGCTACATGACAACTTTCTAGACTCCCTGGGGCAGTAAAAGGTGGCTCAAGCTGCCTTTTGGAGTATCAGTTGCATCAGAGGTGTATTAAGGTAAACAACATGAACTATTGGAGCTGGACTCTATGGTATTGAATCAATTGCTGAGGACATACTTGTGGTTGGCTGTGGGGATACGGACGGAGATGCAGAGCAAGACCATGATGGCAAACTGCTGGAATTGGTGAATCATTGTACACAGGTGAAACGAAGACTTGGCATGAAAAAACTGCAATTCAAGGTCAAAGAGGTATGCTTCCATGGACATATACTAACTTTGGAGGGTTTGAAAGCTCACCCAGAGAAAATCAGGGGTATACTGGATATGTCACATCCGTCTAATGTGAAATCCCTGCAGTGCTTCATAGGATTTCTTACCTATTTAGCAAAATTCCTACCGCAGGAGAGTTTGACAGAGTCGTTGAGAAGGCTTCTGGACAAGGATGCGGTTTGCCATTGGCTTCCTAAGCATAATGCTGTACAGGAAAGCAAATGTTTGGTCACAGATACACCTGTCCTAAAGTACTATGATGTTATAAAACCTGTAGCTATTTAAATGATGCAAGCAAAAGTGGACTCGGGTTTTGCCTATTGCAAGCTGGCCAGCCCATCGTATTTGTTTAAAGGGCACTGACCCCTACTGAGCAAAAATTACGTACAAATCAAAAAGGAATGCGAGTATTGTGTTTGCCTGCCAGCGCTTTCATCACTACCTTTATGGTCATGACGAGATCACAGCAGAAACTGACCATAAGCCTCCGATATCTATTTTCAGGAAACCACTTGTGTGCACCCAAATGCCTACAGAGCATGTTGCTCACATTACAAAATTATTGCCTAAATGTTGTCTATAAACCTGGACCTGAAATGTACGTTAGTGACACACTTAGAGCTATAGCAGCAGGTAAAACACCTGAATGTTTCCAATGTTCAACAGGATCTGGATGTCCTGTCACAGATAAATCAGTCACAGACCAGCGTTTGCTTCAAATAAAACAGCACAAAAGAAATGGACGAGAGTCTGCAAGCACTTAAATCAGAAGTGCCATTACTTGAGAGAATATTGGACTTTTAGAGATGAAATCAGCATTCAGGATGGCATACTTTACAAAGGGCCAAGAGTCATCATTCCTAAATCTCTAAGATCGGAAATTTTCACATGCATTCATGCAAGTCACATTGGTGGAAAAGCATACTATAGGCAGGCATGAGACACCCTACACTGGCCCAACATGCAAAATGAAATTAGAGACTTTGTTAGCCGTTGCTCAGCATGCAATGAATATGCACAGGCATAACAGAAGATCCCATGATGGCAAATTGAAAGCATGGATTTATTGAATTATGCTGGGCAAAATTTTCTACTGCTTGTGGATCACTATTCTGACTTTTAAGAAATTGAGCACGTTCCTGGCCTGTCTTCTGAAACTAAAATCAAGCGCTGTAAAGTACAGTTCGCACGTAATGGCCTGTTGGACAGAATAATCTAGGATAATGGACCTCAATTTGCATGCGAGAAATTCAGATGGTTCTCTATAGATTGAAGGTTTGAGCATCTTACCTCATCCCTGCAGCACCCACAAGCTAATGGAAAAGCAGAATCAGCTGTGAAGATAGTAAAGAATCTTTGCAAAAAGCCCATTATGATGGTAATGACCCATGAAAGCCATTCTACATTTGAGGAACACCCCAACTGAAGTCATGGACAGCGCTTGATGTCAAGGAGACTGAAGACTCCAATACTTGTGGCGAACAAAATGCTTGAACTTTGTGTGGTTACAAGTGCACTGGAGAAACTGCGACGTAGAAAACAGATCTCCAAACTGACATATGATGTGGCTGCCAAAGACTTACCTGAACCAAGCATTGGGGAGCCAATCAGTATGATGCTGCTGCCTGGTGACAGGACTGGTCGTTGGAGATTGGGCACCTGTGTTCAGAGGGCAGATAATGCATGGCAGCAAATGTACACATATTGCACTGAGAACATGTACATACCCTAAAACTGATTCATACATGTGCCTGCTGGAGTGATTAGCAGCACATTGGATTGCATGTCTGCCAACAAAACACACATTTTAGGAGATAATTATCCTCAGTGTAATTAAAATACATACAAAAAAATGCATGTCAGGCACAAACAAAGCACATCTAAAACTGATCATGGGGCACTACTTATGATGCTTGACATCATATAGAGGCCACATCTTGTTTTTATTTCCATTTTAAATCAATGAAATTCTATCAGCTCAAGAAATAGTCTAACAACATTTTGTTTTCACTCACAACGAAAGTACATGCACCTTCAGCATATGGAGTGGAAACAAGTGTACCAATGCAACATTGTTCAGAGGGTTTGAAATGCATCTTTTTCTTTTCATTACACATGGTATGAAAAAAAAAAAAAATCTGAACATTTCTAATAGAATTGTCTTCCTTTGATATGGGCAGATTGGCAATTGTCAAAGCAATAAACAAGTAATGTTATCCTCACTGTTGTCCAATACATGATCCTCCTATTAGGCAGCATATAGATGTTATACACAAAGTGGAGGGATCACTGACACATTGATTAGGACAAGGGTATAGGAACTAGTTAAATACAAAGCTTTTCTCTCTCCTTGCTATAACAGGCTGACCCTACAAGGACCACCTGGCCCAACAAAAGGCAATTTAAAAATCAACTGAGCAGGGTGGAAATTATTGCTGGAAGCTTAGTGTACATCTAAAAGCAGTCTGCAGTAAATCACATTTTAGAGAGCGGTAAGGTGCTACTACTGACATGCATTCAGGAGGAGATACTGCCTTTTTTTTGATAGTCAAATGGGTGCTTCAGTGGGAATACACAGCATCCACAAGCCTAAAGTTTGTCATGCAGTCAGGGCTTGTGCTACCAATAGGCAGCCGCCTAGGACGCGGCCACAGCCGTGATTCAAGGACAACACTGATATGCAGTTAAAATTAAATGGTTGTGGCGCCTAGGTGAATAAAAACAGGGATATACAGTCAGAGAGATCCCTCTCCCTACCTCCTTTGCCTTCAGAAAGTCAGGTGTTGCCTGCCTGTTTGCTGTCTGGACAGTGCTGAGTGAGGTTGCTACCTGCCTTGACACGATTAGTTGTGTGGAGAGGTAAAGGATGGTGCAACTTTACCCTCTGAACAGCAGACCCATCACAAGGACCACACAGCCTAGAGTATGAAAAGCGGCTGCTGCAGACCCAACCAGAGCAAGGACAAACTATCACCGAGACACAGAGCCCTGCAGAGAGAGCACAGCCCGAGGAGAGAGATTCGGAGTGAGTGTGGTGGAGGCTGGAGCCAGCCTGAGTAGGCAAACCAACCCAGCCAGAGACTGTTAATTCATTTGCTGACCTGACAGTCATCTACCATGTCATCTCCATCCTGCACACACAGTCATCTCCATCATGCACTATGCAAGTCATCTCAGACTATTTAACCACACCCCCTTTAGGCCACGTTCAATATTTAATGTAATTTAAACCACGTCCACTTTTTGCTGTGGCAGTCAGGGTTTTTTTTTTGGGGGGGGGTGCCGATTTTGCCTAGGGTGCAAAATAGTCTAGCACTGGCCCTGCGTGCAGTTGTGGTATGGCCCCATTGACTCGAATGTGTCATTCTCAGCATCCATTAAATAATTTGATTCAGCTGTGTATGGTAGCTGGCCATACATGGATCGAAATTTGGCTGGTTCTGCAGGGACCACCCAAATTTCGATCCATATATGGGCACTCTGGATGTACACAAGTCAGTCAATCTATCAATCGACTTGTGTACAAAGAGCCTGTCAGTTATTTCCTGAATGATTAGTGCCGCTAGCTATAACTGGTAACACTAATTTCCCTGCCGGCAGAACACAATAGTGTTGTGGCAGGAATTCCCCCATCAAAACTGAATGTGTTGATAGAGAAAGCGGGCAATTTTCTTTCCTTCCATTACCGCCTAAGGCAAGCCATAGTTTATGCAATTTTCTTATCTTCCACTACAGGTGGAAGGAAAGACTATCACTCGATTCCCCAAATGCTATTGTTTTGCGCTGATGGGGAGGCTTCCTTGCTGGCAGAACACAATGATCACTGCTAGTGGCTATAGCCACTGGCATTCATTGCATGCAAGAAATCCAACAGGCTGGTTGTACTGGAGTCAATCGATAGATCGACTTCAGTATAGGCAACCTGTCCATAGATGCTGAACCAGCCAAGATTTGATCTGTCTATGGCCAGCTTAAGTCTCCCAAAGATTAATGGTCCCGTACAATGGAGAATATTGGTGAATGTAGAGGGGACATACCTGCAATAGCTGGTAGATAACAGGAACAATAGCAGTTGAGGTTAAGCGGTTTGTAACATTTATCAGATTGTTTTTCTGATTTTCTTAAGAGTTTCTTTGCCCTTTGTACCGCTCAATGGGAGTTTAAACCACATAGCTGCACTTCCAGTGAACAATTAACTCTTTAGAGATCCCAGGAAGAGTTATACTAAAACCATATAAAAAGAAAACATTTACTGACCTAATCCAAGCGTTTTCTTCACAGGGAGAAGATCTGGAACAAGTCCCTGCACTTTATGAGTGAACTGAGGACGAAGCTTGTATTTACATCTCTGTCAAGACATCCCTCCGGCTGCCTCTGCCAGGACAAATAAACTTTTTCGCTGAATGAAGTTTGCAGCTGAACTCTGGAAGTGGAACCAAGGGGTTGTGTCCAAGCAACTGGAAACATACCTCGAGACAGAGACAATACAACAATTGCTTCACTTCCTAAAACAGCAAAAATACAGACGTGTGACCACAACGACTTCACAGACACGGAATTGCTGTGCCTGTTGCTGTAATTCAAATTATTGAAACCAACAGGTTTGGCTTGCTTTTCTAAGCAAGTAATGTGCCAGCAACCTGGAGTAAAACAGAATTCAATCAAAACTGTAGTAAGAGTAGGAAAGAAAGCATGACACACACTGAGCAACACACATGCACACCGAGCATGCTCTGAACTCAACCCTCGGGGACTAAAGTGCTGACTCAGTGCCCTTCACTAAACATAGCTGCTTGAACCGAGACCAGGTCGCCTCTGACGTTGGATTCTGTTCCTTTTTGAACAAAAATATTTCAAATCCAAATATACTGGGTGAGCAGAATGTAGACTTGCCATGTCAGCCTATGTCAAACAAACATGAAAAACTGAAAACAGTTATATTACAAATAGCTGAGGTGTAATAAGAAGTATATAAAAAACATTCTTCACACTTGTGCTAGTGATTTAAAGGAGCAGACTGCAGTCCCGCTTTTCTCACTGGATGAGCAGTACACCACTAAACTGCTGGAGGCCGCCATGAGTACGTCCTCCTATAGCATAGCTCCCTACTATCTCAATTGGAGGGACTGTCCCCTCTTTCAGAACCAAGACTCGCTGTCGCTCTTTCCTCCTCAGTTGTCCATCTTTTTTAGGCAGATCTATACACCTCAATAAAAAAGTGTTGTAAAGTGTTACTGAATCCAGGACTCTGCATTCACTATATCCAGGCTTCCAAAATGTCAAACTCTAGCTTGTAAGTCAGTCCACGAATGACACATTCAGTTCTGAAAAATCCTAAAGATTTCATATTCTTACCCGAGTAGAACTTCAGTTTGATGTCACTTGGCATTAGACATGCTTCAGGTGCGAACATCATTTTGTCTCTCAAGTACATTACATCACATGTTGCTCCAGAATCGAGCCGGCAAGATTATTATTTAAAGCAAGGCTTATTATTTAAAGCGTTGCTAAACCCAGGACCCTGCATTCACTATATCCAGTCTCCCACAGTACCCAGAACAAGGAAATGCAATTATTTTAGTAAATATAAACAGCAAATACCTTTTCTTATCAGCAGTATATTGCAGTCTTGTGACTCCTATCAGTGTCCGGCTGAGCACTGGTTAATTCTGGAGGAGTTTTCATTCACCTCTGACTGTCCTATGACATGACCCTTAACTCCCTTTGTGGACAGTGCTGATTGGATCTGTGCTGATCACATGCACCTTCCCAAGGAAAAAAAAACAAATCTCTCTTGCAATACACACTAAAAAGAGCATGTCCAGGCTTACCACTGCTGCTCTATGCTATTGCAGATGGATTGAGGACAGTAGAGGGGGGGGGGGAAATCAGAGAAGTCAGGATCTAACAGCTTATAAACATAATATGGAGGATTAACCCCTTAGGTTCCATTGTGAGTATAACAATCATGCTTTACTGCATAGACAGACTGATTTTACTGTAACGCTAACTATTAAATGTTTTATTTACAAATTAACCTTTTATCCAGCCTTTAGATTAATCCATTTCTTAAAAAGCAAACAAACGAAAAGTAGTAGTAGTGAAAATGCACTTGCTGGTCTAACCAAACATTTCTTGCTTATTACTTAGCTATGATCAGGTTAACTAAAGGTGTGTTTCTGTTCTTTTATCCACTGCAGGTGGCCCTCAAACTGCACTGGCATGGCAGAGGGAGAGAAATAAGAGGAACACAGAGGGAACTTGGTCCTCAACAGTTTCCTGGGTCAATTAGAAGCAATCCAGTTGGATGGCACTGTCCCATGTGAGTCTGGTGGCCATCTTGGGTCAGGCAGAGTCTGTTTAAGACCCTGGCTCCTAGGCTTGGGTCGCATTTTTCCAAGTGGAACGTGTAGGGACAGGTTACCCGTCTGTCAGGGAAAATAAATAGCAGCAGAGAAAAATTCTGGACAAGTAGGAACAGGATAGGGACATGCTATCTTTTCTAGGAATCCTCCCCATTAGGGTCAGATGGGCCAGGCCACATTTCTCCCTCAGAGACAGATACAGTGGAGGTCTACAGACAATTCCTTGGACTTCATGGCTTGGCTTGTGCTCTGACTTGCACTGTTAACTGTGAGACCTTATATAGACAGGTTTATGCCTTTCCTAATCATGTCCAATCAACTGAATTTCCCACAGGTGGACTCCATGTGGAAACATCTCAAGGATGATCAGCGGGAACAGGATGCACCAGAGCTCAATTTTGAGTGTCATGGCAAAGGCCATGAATACTTATGTACATGTGTTTTTTATTTTTAATAAATTGCAAAGATTTCAAAACAAACTTCTTTTACATTGTCATTATGGGGTATTGTTTGTAGAATGTTGAGGAAAAATTTTTTATTTAATCCATTTTGGAATAAGGCTGTAACATAAAATGTGGCAAAAGTTAAGCGCTGTGAATACTTTCTGGATACACTGTATTGTTGGTGTATCAGAACCTGGGGCCCTCTATATCTTTGCATGGAACTGTGAGTGTCCCCAGCTTGATGCCTTCCTGCTGGGCTGTTTGTATACTTGTATTCCTTCAATACAGTTTTGTTATTTGTAACTGGACTCACTACCACTGCTCCCACAGGCATGTCAGCACAAGCCTGATCATTGGATTAGTTCCCAGGACAGCCAGAAATCTGACCACCTTGCACTCTCATGCCTTATGTGGTCAGTTTTTTTTTTAAAATAGGAAAGCAGAGGAACTGGCAGGGACACCAGAAATTTTACACAAAGGAAGCAAAACAAAGAACAGGATACTTATTTCATACAGGTACATTGTACAGCAGGCACATATCAGGAATGTGACCTCTAGCCACCCACGTAAAGCATATGTGCAATGGCAAAGAGGATGAGGATTACCATCCACATGTTCATATTCACAGATGACTGAGGTTTCTGTGCTGACAGTGCACTCACTGCATGCTTCCAGGAAAGTCATCTGGTCTCCAGTAATGATCAGAATCCAACGCGACGGGCTCTCAATCATGGGACCACTGTCACAGCCAGTCACAGTGGTCATGTGATTGGGCTGTCCATCCCACCTCCGGGAATAAAAACTCAAAGGGACTCTAGCACTGGGTGGGAAAGGGTTAAAGTATATCTAAAGCTAAAATGTTAAAAGTTAAAAGTTAAAAAAAATACACTTTTACCTGCAAAAAATTTAATATTTTTTTCTGGAGCCTGCAGAGCATTGCACCTGCGATCAGCAGATCACAAGTGTAATGCCAGGCTCCTGTGCATGCATACTGAGCTCTAAAGGGACGGCATAATGTCCCTTCAAAGCATTATGCCACAGTCGGGACTCCTGTGCATATGCGTGGGAATTACATCATTGCAATATAGCCATTCAAACAGCCGCTGCCCACAAACAGGGAAAAAAAAACGGGTGAAGATGGAAGCCCTGTCAGCGGTGACAGGGCGCCACTGGAGGGCTTCGTTTTAAGGCAAGTCTTTCATAATGTGTTAGTATGCAATGCATACTAGCACTCTCTCAAAGCTTTTCCCTGTACTCTAGTACCAGCTACAATGCAAATGTCCCTCATTTTCAGCACTGATAACAATGATCACTAAGCGCAAAGAGGGTGAACTTCCCCAGTGGACACACAGAAAGCAATAAAAACCTGACAGAGGTTCTAACTCTTGCCTTCTCAATCCAAAGTAAAATTTAAAAAATTGTGTCTTTATAAGCAATTTGTATTAAAAAAAATGCTGTGTGGATGTCTTAAAGGATATGCTTACCTTTAGTAAAATGTTACACCTGTATTTAGGGTGTAAGATGTAACTATACAGCAACCCCCCCACCTATCTTGCGGCAGTGGGTGGAGGGTTCCTCTCCCCCACAGCTGTCATCACATTTTAAACTCTGAGCTTCAGTCCCATCTGCCACTATGATAGATGGCGTATAGTTGTCAAAGAACTATGAGGTCACTGGTGAACACCCTCATAGTTCATTCACGCTTCCTCCAACTTACAAGCAGAAAGCTCTATGGAGGTACAGGCAAGAAAGCTGGAGGGAGAATGTGCAGAAGCCTAACAATGCACCCATGCTTGGCCGATCCAAGGGGAAGCAATGCTCTCAAAAAAAATTTTAAATACACATTTTTTTACCTGCAAAAACATGTGCATTTATTCAGAAAGATGAACTTAACCTTTAAGCATTTGCACAGGCATAATGAACGTTCAGCATATTGATTGTATCAGGATTATCTCCCATGACCATCAGCTCCATCTAGTGATCATAATACTGAATGTTTTTAAAGAAATTTAAAAAAATATTGTACTGTGGCCTCTAGATAGAGCTGATAATCAGAGGAGATAATCATATTACATATAATACATCATTTATTGTGCTGAAATGCCTATTCACACCTGTGTGTTAGAAAATGTGAACAGCATTTTTCTTGAAAACGCATGTCACGCTTTTAAAGCATTAAAATCAACGCAATGCATTGTGGGTTTTCCTACCTGGAAAAATGGACATGTGAATCAAAAAACTCACTAAAAAGCATGTTGCATTATTGGCATGCTACTATTGACTATAATGTAAGGTATTAAAAAAAAAAACCACACACACTAAAGATGCAGCAAGTAGGACTTTTCAAAAGTGCAAGACATTGTATAAAAAGAGTGCACACATGTGAACAGTTACATGGCATTTAAAGGGGACTATTTTACATGCACTTTTGATGTACTGAGCAGATGCGTTTTAGTGTAGCAAAAGCACACAGATGTGAACAAGTCCTAAGACATCTGCACTGTAATTTTTATAATAAAGTCCCCTAAATACGACCT